GCTTCTTGTGCTGTACGAGATCCAACCTTTTCTGTAAAGCAAATAATACACATTCATCTGCTTTCTTCTCTTGGCGGGGAGGTCAACGTCATGCTATGGACCTTGTAAAATTCCAGTAGGTTGTTCTGCCGGGATTTTCATTCTCTCTTTTCGTGTTTGCGCTTCATTGCAAGGTTTAGCCTTCATTTGTGTTACATTATTGTCTTGTTTTTTCCCTCTACCACCTTACGTTGTTACAGTGTTAAGGACACTGATGTTTCGTGGTCCCTGTCTACTTTGTTGTTCTGTGGGATAATGTTTACGTGTTTCCTGAAGACTTCATCAACCATTGACCCCAGAGTTACGCTGAAGATCTTCACAAGTGGTTCGCTGAGGTTCATGGTAACTTTGTTTAGAACCCAAGTGGAGACTCTATCAGAACCATGGGACTCTGTTTCATTCCTTCCCTATTTTTCTGTTATTCTTAGGATATATATTGTTAAAACTTGGTGTCCAGCGTATCATTTCAGAGAGCTAAACTGAGGGAATATTTAATGTTTGTGTAGTTATGTGTCAGATCAAGACCGATTTGGACTCCTTACTTCCGTGTCCTCCTCCTCCTCCTCCTCCTCTTCCTCTTCCTCCTCCTCACTTATGACCTTCTCCCCTTCATCTTCTCCATCCCCGATCTCCTCCTTTCCGTCGATATATTCTTCCCTTCGTGATTTCATACTCTCAGTGAATTCTTCAATCTTTTCCTAACTTTCTCTACGCCTTCTCCTCTTCTCTCGACCTCCTCCTCTTCCCTCGGTCTTCTCCGCTTCCCTTCCTGACCTTATTGATCATCACGTCACGCTTTGACCTCTTCAACCCTCCTTCGTCTTCTGGCAAAATTTGCATCCCAGTGCGGCTACCTCGGGCCTTCAAAGACCAAAAAAAGAAAAATTCATGTGCGCCCTACTACGACGAAGACTAAATGCTTCCAGTTAGAAGCAGAGCCAATGTGGCAGCGGATTAAAAAATTAAAAGGTAAAACCATTAGCTATTACCCGTGACTGGGATGCATAATTAGCTGATTATATTATGGAGTGGGAGCCTTTTTTTACCCCTTGATAATCTAGCCTGTGACAAGCGACGGGCAAATGGCAGGCTAATGTTGTTCTTAAATTGGCCAGTTTAGGGCCAAAAAAGACGACGTAGCAAGGGTGATAATTACATCCATTACGCGAATTATTTTATGAAGGGTGGAAAGCGAAATGAAAGTAGTGTGTGTGTGTGGGTGTGTTTAGATATGCATGTGTTATCAAACACGCACGGAAACCTATGGACACACACACACTCCCCTAAGCCCTCCCTTCTTTCTCACCCCCCCCCCCATCAGCTCTCCATTAAAAGCCCTCCCACCCCCACATCCCCCCAAGCCTCTCCCTCTCACCCCACAACCTTCCCCCTCTCACCCCCTTCCTAGCCTCCCCCTCTCACCCTCCACACCCCCCATACCCTCTCTTCTCCCCCACCCCTCCCAAGCCCTCTCTTCTCCACCACCCTCCGCGAACCAGATAAACACAGCCCCCTGCACACCCCAGATCCCCCAGGTCCCCCTCCTTAGGCCTTCCCATCTCGTCCCCTCCCTGTTTCCCTGCTTCAGGGGAGTCAACATAAACTGAGGAAGGACAAAAGAGAGTCATTTTCAGGGTGATATACTCGAACATAGATGGGATTACCAGCAAGGCAAGTAAACTAAGGGAAAGAGCACAAGATGTAAATCCAGATATAATCGAACTCACAGAAACAAAATTCTCAGGAATCTAACGAATACGGTGTTTTCCCAGGACTACACAGCTATAAGGAAAGAGGAGGAAGGTAGGGGAGGAGGCGGATTGGCCCTACTAATGAGAAAGGAATGGAGTTTCAAGGAGATAGCTATCCCGGGTTGTGAGAGATTCAGAGACTGCATAACAGGCACCATGACAAAGGCAGAACCAAGAGTAGTATTAAGCATTGATATATAACCCTTTACCCAATGGCAGAAGACCCAGGCAAGAGTCTGACCAACAACATGGCAATTAACACTATAATGGAGAGGGCAGTCTCTGCGGCTTAAAGAAATAGATCCCATCTGCTCATCATGAGGGACTTCAATCATGGAAGGTTAGACTGGGAGAACAAGGAACTGTATGGAAGGGGTGGATACGTGGAGAGCTAAACTATTGGAGGTGGCGACAAGAAACTTCTTATGCCAGCATGTCAGGGAACCCATAAGGATGAGCGGAAACGATGAACCCGCAAGACTTGACCTAGTCTGCACTCTTAACGACTCCGACATATCGATATATCTGTTTTGACGTCCCGGAAGGAATGAGCGACCACAGTGTAATGACATTTGAGTATCTGGTTGAAGAAGGGCTAAGGAAATCGAGGAGGGAAACTGAAAACAAAAGGCTGGCATTCCGAAAGGGACACTATGAGGAGATAAGGAAATTCCTAACAAAAATAACATGGGAAACTGAGCTCAGAGGTAATACGGCCCAGACATGATAGATTACATCACGCAGAAGTGTAAGGAGGCAGAAGACAAGTCGGTCCTGGTCTAAAAAGAAAACAACGAAATGCAGATGAGAAACCCATGGTTTAACCAGAGATGTAGGCTAGCTGAGCAGCAAAGTAAAAGGGGGTGGAGAAACTATAGAAACAACAGGACACTCGAGAGCAGAGAAAGATAGAGCAGAGCTCAACCCCCGCAAGCACAACTTGGTGAATACACACACACACACACACACACACACACACACACACACACACACACCAACACACACACACAAAAAAGAACTTTTTTAGTGTCAGAGTGGTTGACAAATGGAATGCATTAGGAAGTGATGTAGTGGAGGCTGACTCCATACACAGTTTCAAGGGTAGATATGAGCCCAATAGGCTCAGGAACCTGTACACCTGTTGATTGACGGTTGAGAGGCGGGACTAAAGAGCCAGAGCTCAACCCCCGCAAGCACAACTAGATGAACACAACTAGGTGAGTACACACATTGGCCTCGTGGCTGAGATGACAGCGCTCTGGGGTCGTAGTCATAAGAGCCCGGTTCGATCCCTGGCAGAGGCAGCAACAAATTAGCAGAGTTTCTGTCATACTGGTGCCACTGTTCACCTAGCAGTAAATGGTACCTGGGAGCTAGACAGCTGCTATGGGCTGCTACCTGGGGGATGTGTGTGTGTTACAGAGATATATATGTAGTAGACATAATAAAGGAAAATAAATTGGTTAGAAAGGCTGGGTCCAAGAGCTAATCTCTTAAGTCTGCAGATTCAAGTAGTAAATACAAAGAGTACATGCACATACACTCAAAATACTACTCTTGCAGACATGCAACATTGATACCAAGTCTGCTATTGCACAGGGTTTCCCAAAACGTACATCATGTCAAGGACTCCAATATGATCACTCAAACCCAGGACCCGCACCTAAAAATTATTACCCACACAGTATATGTTTTATATGCTAATTATTTCCCCTAGTTTAAAAATATGATCTGCCCTGTTATATTCAGAGATCAGAAAAAGGTCCATTCCGGTAGTACTAATCTTCAAGGCTTAGCAGCATAGTATCGCGTTAATAAAATTCTCCTCATTTTAACATATCTGAAATACAAAATAGATGTACTTCCTTTGAGTTCTCATTCAGTTGTAATGTAAATAAATTAGGAATGTGAAATAAAGTAAAAACAGATGCTGAAGAGGAACTATGACTTGCTGTTTGAATGTACACCTGGTTAATGATAAGTCTTGCAGTTAGCAGAAATCAATAAATATTTCCCCGTCAGTTGGTTATTTCTGTTTTAAGTGTCTTTGAACTTTTTTTTTATGGTTTCAAGCATTCATTGAAGAGCAACTCTTTGATAGAGAACTCACTTCAAGAGCTCCAATTCATTTTCTTCTCACCACAGAGATAAATCCATATTCAATATTGGATGGATTAGACTTCCACAGTCCAGATTTTCCCATATTTGTGCTCGAACTACTCGGCTTTGATGAGACAGCAGTAGATGAAAACGTTAACAAAAACTGCACCATTTTGTAATTATTACTCAAACCTGCTACAAACGTATAACAAAATTTCCCCGTAGTGCAGACAAATTGCAAGCAATGAAAAAAAAAATAACGAAAACATTGCTATCATCCACCTTATCACAGACCCAAGTTTGGAAACCACTGGTCTAGCAGACACAGACGATGTTCCGGAAGCATTCTCTTAGCAGGCACAGAAGATATACTCGAAGCATATTCTAGCAGACAGGAGCTAAATAAATATCAGGTCAAGAAATCCATCACGGTAACTTTAACAGTAATAAACAGATGATTTACCCTCATTATACGTTCTCCATTCTATGAAATGCAATTATTGAAACTATTCTCATTTTTAACCGTTGTTATCGTGAAGGGTGGGGCCTGGGGGTAGGTGTGTGATGAGAGAGTTGAGTTCCCCGAGGAAATGACTCTCCGATCATATGAGTTCCCTAGGATATGAGTTCTCCAGTCACTAGTCTACGATGACATGGACTCTCCAGGGAATAGGTTCCTTAGGACACGAGTCTCAGAGGACATGATATTCATGTGACGAGTTACCGAAGACAATATTATAGTATTGATCAAAAATACTGTAAAGATTTTCTCATTATTTTTACCAGTTTGCCCCAATGTCTCCCAGTTCAAATAGTTTATCGCAAGTATTTACTATATTAAATTGATTTTTATATGTTTTTATTTACAATATCTGCCCATTTCGTGTAAATCTTACAAAATTTAATATTTTAAGATGCAAATTACCCCTCCAAAATTTCCAACTACTTAATGCCAATTTCACGCTAAGTTTGCAAAACTACTCTCCCATTAGCTCCTCTCAATTGTTTCCAACCATTCCTTCCCCTCCCCCCCTAAAAACAAGAATTCAGCCACTGTTCTGTCAGAATTTTCTTGCCACTGTCTTTACCACTGATCTCTTGCCTCCACAGCTGAGCTTGTCAGACGCGATGAAGGCGAAGGCTCGCATGTCCATCACAGGGGGAAAGGATCTCGATAACGGACGAGTGAGCACTCAGGTTTACTGGCCAAGATTTTTTTTTACCTTTATACCGTAATTCATAAGCTTTCTGTGTGTGTGTGTGTGTGTGTGTGTGTGTGTGTGTGTGTGTGTGTGCAGTATTTTTTTGTAGTGTTTTAATCTGTGAATAGAGAAAAGGCCAGAATCCTCACAATAAAGACGAGTCTGACATGATTCTGAATTTGCCTCAGAGTTTTACTTAACAGGCAGGGCAACTTTTTTTTAAGATTTCTTACGAAATTAGATTGTTCCTAATAATGTTAAGATATTATAAGTGAAGTATAGTTCAAAGATGTTGACAATTGCCGGGAATAATCGTTTTGTTTAGGATAGGTAAGGTTGATCACTTTTTAACATGAATCTTGTGAGTAAGTCCATAAATTTAACACACCCATCATGGATCACATGCCTTCGATATTTGTCCATAATTCGACCACTCTTCTTGGAATACCCTCTTCCTCTTCTCAGAGGCGATGGGGATCCTCAATTTCACCAGAGGTGGTTCCATTATCTCTCTCTCTTTTTCCCTCTCTCTTTTTCTATTTCTCTCTCTCTCTCTCTCTCTCTCTCTCTCTCTCTCTCTCTCTCTCTCTCTCTCTCTCTCTCTCTCTCTCTCTCTCTCTCTATATATATATATATATTATATATATATATATATATATATATATATATATATATATATATATATATATATATATATATATATATATATATATATATATATATATAATTTCCAGTGTCCTAATAATGGTCTCGGACCATCGAATACGTGTTTGTGAGTGTATTTTTCCAATTGAAAATGTATGATAAACGTATTTTAATAATATGCATTTTACATGACCAACATGTCAAGGATATTACCATGTATGTGTGAAAACATGATTTGTATTCATAGTATTGTATTCATCCATATACTTACAGTCCATGTTGTTGTTGTGTTGTTGTTGTTGTGTTGTTGATGCTGTGATTGTTTTTCATTGTTTCATTTTGGCGGCTGTTTTGAAATCATTATATTTGTTCTAATTCAACGATTTGTGAATTTGATATGTGCGTAATATATAAAAAAAAATATGGAGCAAGCTAGGTAAAAAATTTCAAGAACGAAGATATAAAATCTGGAGCTCAAAAGCGTGCATGTATTGCATAAAATTAATGGAAAAAGCATTAGATATTTTCTCCTAGACGATGCGAGAATCGGTTTGAAGAGAACAGAGTGAAAGTCACTTCCGAGCTTCAGGGGAAAAAAACTTAATTAAGATCATAGCTTAACTCTGGAAAATTGTACAGCTATTTGTTTCACACGTAAAAACTAACCGGTGTAATTTGTTTTTGTTTTTATTGAAAGCTCTAAATTAGTCTTAGGATTATCACTCACGGAGACTGATTTAAGACTGTAGCTCCGGAAGTCGTTACAATAAGGCAGGTAGTTAAGATAACTATCTTGAGAAAGATCTCATCGAGTATGCCTATATAACATCTGGAAAGGCTACGAGGATAAGGAACTGGGATATGAGAACGGCGGGTAGGAACGGTTCCCAATCACTTGGACCATCAGGGGATCGAATTCCGTCTCTGCAAGACGCAAGTTCGTGCCGACAAGTCCTTCTGGACGGGCAGACGTGACAGGAAGAGGTCATTTACAGAAACAAACAACACTAACGGTAATAATATTTTCCACAAGAAATAGTGCCATTATTATAATGATTTAACCGTATAATGATTTAGCCGTATAATGATTTTTAGCAGTATGGTGATTTTAGTTTCATAATTATTTTAACTGTATAAACATCTTCGCCTATTGTGAAACCTACCATTGTGTAAAGAAAACACCAGAATCTTTACGTCTGCAGAATTGTTTCTGTGCTTAGGCCTAGTAAATTTGCATCGTGGAGGTTACCTAATTTGTTTTTTGACCTGTATATTATATAATCACTATGAAGTCTGAACCGACTGGTGCTCCAATTTAATTCGTTAGTTTTTTTATTCATGTCGTGAAGCAGAAAACTGCACTTTACTGCATCAAGGCTATTATCTCATGATCGCTCCAGTTATTGCATAAAATCTGCTGAAATTTGCCAATTTCATCTTTGTTATGATATTGAAAAAAAAACATTTTGTGTTCCCTTGTAATAGAGTTAGTTTGATGTCTCTGAAATTTTGCTTTATTTTTTTTAATTCGTGTGGTTGGGAAATGTCACTGGATGTAAGGTAAAATGTTGAGAGACCTTGTTGCGTTGATTATTTAGGCAAGCTGATTCGAGAGTCATTCTGGAGCGTTACTGGATCCTCCTTAACCTACGAGACTACCGCAGCTTGGAGGGTGAGTTTGGAGCAATACTTGAGGTCAATCTTCAGGTCCTTGGTCACGGGTCCTCACGGGCTCAGTCATTAGGTCCGTGGTCACGGGTCTCAGGGACTCAGTCATCAGGTCCGTGGTCACGGGTCTTCAGGACTCAGTCATCAGGTCCGTGGTCACGGGTCTCAGGGATTCAGTCATCAGATCCGTGGTCACGGGTCTTCAGGACTCAGTCATCAGGTCCGTGGTCACGGGTCTTCAAGACTCAGTCATCAGGTCCTTGGTCACGGGTCTCAGGGACTCAGTCATCAGGTCCGTGGTCACGGGTCTTCAAGACTCAGTCATCAGGTCCGTGGTCACGGGTCTCAGGGATTCAGTCATCAGATCCGTGGTCACGGGTCTTCAGGACTCAGTCATCAGGTCCGTGGTCACAGGTCTCAGGGATTCAGTCATCAGGTCCGTGGTCACGGGTCTTCAGGACTCAGTCATCAGGTCCGTGGTCACGGGTCTTCAGGACTCAGTCATCAGGTCCGTGGTCACGGGTCTTCAGGACTCAGTCATCAGGTCCGTGGTCACGGGTCTTCAGGACTCAGTCATCAGGTCCGTGGTCACGGGTCTTCAGGACTCAGTCATCAGGTCCGTGGTCACGGGTAGCTAGTAAAGATATACTGCTCACCGGTTGACTCACTGAGCCGTTTAAGAGCCTCATTAAACAACATAACGACAAGTTCGTGACGATTTGGACGACCAGTTTCGTGACATTCGCGAGACAGGTTTGAGACACGTAATCATCACCATGTGTTAAATTACCTAAATAAAAAAGCCTAATGATTCACTCGTAGCCCCTTTACGTTACACTTAAATCTTTATTATAGAAAGATGTCTTATATAGAATAGTTTTTTTAAGTAAAATAGATAAAATATCACGATTTAGGAACACCTAGAAAGTTTTCATGATTTTCAGCTTGAAATCATACAGAATGAGCGAATCAGAATGGCCTGAATCAAATTTGACGAATCAGACAAGCTGGCTCAGTCAACCAATGAGAGCTCATCACTCTGGCTCAAGCGACCAATAGGAACGCAACTCCCACGATAAAATGGGACTCCAGTGTGTTATTCATTTCTGTGATAACCGGAAATCGCGCTTAGATAACAGTTCGTGAACCGTTTATTTTGGCCAATGCATTGCTCGGTATGAACTGTGAATACTGAACATCTTAAGGAATCACAGACTTTCTAGATTGTTGCAGGCGATGAGTCACAATAACGTGGCTGAAGTATGATGACCAGACCACACACTAGAAGGTGAAGGGACGACGACGTTTCGGCAGGTCCTGGACCATTCTCAAGTCGATTGTGAGCAATCGACTTGAGAATGGTCACGTCGTCGTCCCTTCACCTTCTAGTGTGTGGTCTGGTCAACATATTTCTAGATTGTTGCCGAGAAATCGAGGATCTTTAATAAAATTATAAAAGAAGAATGGAGCCATCAACAGCGGGAGTCAGCGGAGCAGCCACTAAATAACTGCTGAATTTTAGAAGAATTTGAAAATTGCAAGTTCTTGGAATACATTCGGGGCGCCATGGTACCTCAACCTATGCTTAGTGTCGGCTTCTTGAGAGGAAGTTGACACAAGAATCAGAAGAAATGAAGCCAGAATCATCCATATAGAACAGGCACGTGAACACCTTTCTGAATTGCATAGTATTGAGTCATGAAATTGTCTATTTTTAGACAAGAGGCGATATAGTCAACCAAGTTGTTTAACTGAGCGGTGAAGTCACCTATGTTGAGTCATCTAGCCAGGAACTCATCTATGTTGAGTTATCTAGCAACGAAGTCATCTACGTTGAGTTTTCTAGCGACGAAGTCACCTCTGATGAGTTATCTAGTGACGAGGTCACCTATGTTGAGTCATCTAGCCACGAAGTCACCTACGTTGAGTTATCTAGCCACGAAGTCATCTATGTTGAGTCATCTAGCGATGAAGTCAAACAAGTTGAGTTTTCAAGCGATGAAATTACCCAAATTGAGCCATCTAACGGTGAAGTCAGCACCAGCTGGTCCCCAGCTGTCACAAGTCTTCATGTTCACGTAGATGAGCACAAACTGGCAAGGGTCAGAGAATACTCGCTGTTTTTTGTTACTAAATAACGATAAATCATCTGGTCACAATTAAACTGGGAAAAATAGACACTTTTTCCCAAGTTCGGTCACTTTTGTTTAGTCTATATAACCTATCCCAAAAACACACACATCAAGTAATAGTGGTTTTTTAATTGCTTTGTGTCACTTTTTCTTTTCATTCAATTAGCTGCAACATTTTTACATTAGTGAATGAAACAAAAACAAATGATACTGAAGTTCGAGCTGTGATTTAAGCTGGAGATTAATAATTCGCTCTGTGCGACTGCAGTGTCACAACCTTGGAAAATTAGGTGACCTATTTATTTACTTTTCAAATCATAGTATCAACGTTGAATTATAGTAGAAAATGACATTTGTGCTGGTAACAATTAACCTGGTTTAGGAAATTTGTGTTGTTGACAATTAGCTTATTATGACTCATCCAGTATTATGAATGTTTGACTATACCCGTTCCATTCTAGCTCAATTGTTCTTTGTCTATAATTGAAATAAATTATGTAATTGAAAGCATTCTCTTCTGTGTTTTCGTGCTCTGTCT